ACAGGTCTTTTTGCAGATGTGTTTTTATTTTTCATGGACACATACCTAGTAGTTGGTAATACTGGGTGCATAGTAAATATGTTTTACCTTTATAAGAAACTGCCAAAGTGTTTTCCAAAGTGGCTATACAGTTACGCACTCCAATTGGCGATGATGACAGCTGTTTTGCAACTTTGTCAACACTTGGTATTGTCAGTTTTTCTAAATTTTAGCCACTGTAGGTGTGTAGTGTTATCATGATTTTAATTTGCATTTCCCTAAATGACTAATGCGAGTATCTTTTTATGTGCTTATCTGCCACCTATCTACCTCTTCTTTGATGAAGTGTCTGATTAAATCTTTTGCTCATTTAAAAAAAATTGGATTGTCTTTTTTAAATTGATTTATAAGAGTTCTTTATATCTTCTGGATACTATTTCTTTAGCAGGCATATATTTTGACAGCTTCTTTTCTGAGGAATTATAAAGTACAAGGATATAAATCAAACCATTTTTCTTCCAAACCACTGTCCTCTGCACATACACACTGATGAAGGGAACAGGAAAGACTTAAACTTTCAATCGATAAATACCTTAGTGGCATCGGACAGAGGGTCAAGCAGTACTTGGTACCTGTTAAAACTCATGAGACTATTTTTACCTCCACTATAAGCACCCAACCAACACAGTAGGCTTTAAGGAAAGCTACATCTGGAGGAATGTCTGTCCTATAAAATCTTTTGGCCTCCCAGGTTCTGCACCTCCCAAAGCCCTGTTCTGGTCCACCAGGCTCCTGGAATGGTCAACAGTCGTCACACTCCATTGCTGGCCATTGTCTACTGGGAAAGGTAGGAGGCTCCCAAACCATCCCTCAGTGAAAGAGCAAACAGTGGGGCCTGTGGCTGCTTGGACATCAAAGTTGAGCAAACAGGCCTGGCAGGCCCTGCCTCTCCGCCTACACATCCTGCAAATGCCATCTGAAGGAGCTTTCCTGAGGGGGTCATGACTTTCAGCATGTCATGGCACACATCAAAGTTTGCACCACACACGAACTGGGTGCATGGGTTCGAATCAAGTAGCCCAAGAGCGGATACTCAGCCATTGTGTCCAATTTTAATCCTGTGTTTTCTCAAGTAATTAAGCCTTCTTGCTTATGAACTTGTGACTAAGTAAAGCATCACTGAGAGGTTGTAACATCAAAGTGCCTTCCACCGTCTGTCCATGTTTGGTAAAATTGGATTTCTTTCTCTTCTTAAAGAAAAACTAATTGAATTTAGCTGAAGGCTGGGTATATTTGCACGAGCCGGTGAAGGCTAGGCTAAGTCAGAGTGATCATCCTGGGACCCTGTGGCTTAGCCTTTAGCTGGGCTGGGTCAGAGTGCAACACAGAATGAGGCACCCAGACTCAGGCTAAAACCGTGCCTGTGGCAAGAGGCTTATTGGAGGACTTACTGTGAGAGGGGTCCAGTCCCCCAGTGACTGGATCTCAAGTCAACAGTACACCCAAGCTGTTACTAGGGCTGGCAAAAGGATTGTCCTAGCAGAATGTTGGCAAATCTTTGGCAGAATGGCTACTGAACACAATGGCCATCACATTACTTAAGTCCTTGATGTCAGCAGTCCAAGTAAGCTTCTTAAGGCAAAGACTGTGATGCTTATTATCTGAATCCCCCCATAGCATAGCACATAAACGCCTGACACAGTATAGTCTGAAAAAATGTTTGCCAGATGCATGAAATGATAATATAAAGAGATGTCAAAATAAAGTTCTTCGCTCCTGAAGAACCAAAACTCTGTATCCCTTGTTTGGTATGCTGATCCGGAAACTTCAATCTAAGTTAATACTTGATTCAACTAATTACCTGATTTACAGTGAATGCAACATGGTCCCATTTATGTAAAATCACACACACATATGTACACACACAAAGTTCAATCTCTAAATAGAGGAAATTCAGTTGACGGCTACTTTCTTCTCTATGTTATTTTTACAAAAATAATAAACCTATTTTTGGAAAAGAAAATCTCTGGTTCGATCCTGATACAATTATCTTTCCTTTTACCAATATGATTTCTGATCTTGATCCAGTTTTAACTCTCCTGTGTACATTTATATCTGCATTTTAATTTATGTCACCTCAAACTCTTTTTGGAAATAAATAAAGGAGGAAATTATAAATTAAGTTCTTATACACACTTTTAAAATTCTGTTTTATAGCACTGTTTTTCTATTCAAAATTAAATAGTACTATCTTTACTATTCAAAATTAAGTAAATAATAAATACATATATAAATAAAAGTTTACAAGAAGATAATCTCCTTAAGAATAGAGACTATTGTGTTCTATATCCCTAAGGACTAAACACATTAAGCAGGCGCTCACTAAAGGCAGTTGAGGGTAAAATGATTGGGGTACTCTAAGGATCTCTCCCTTGAGCTTGTGGGCTGCCAGCATACTAAAGGAGGTGAAGGTTCTCTGCTTTCAGAAGAGAAATCTGATGAAAGGGGTGCTGCCCCTCTACTTTCCCTTCATCCAAATCCAATCAAAGGTGGTAGCATTTCAGGCCCGGCCAACACAATTCCAGAGGGTTTGGTATCTGATTAGATGAGAATCAGCGCACTTCTAACAGGGAGAAACTTTCTGGCAGACTGTGCTCGTATGATGTGATAATCCTTCAGGACTACTCCTATGGCACCTTACCAATGGGGCCCATTCACTCTGACTAATGTACTCTTGAGATTTCCTTTTACCAGATTCTACTTTTTCTTTTTTCCACAGCACTTCTTACTTTCTAATATATTATGTGGTTTACTTATGTATTACATTTGTTTATTGTCTATCCCTGCCTCTCTCTACTCAGGGACCACTATCCATATAGAAATAAGCTCTATGGGGGCAGAAATCTTTGTCAAGAACAGTGCCTGGGAAACAGTAGGTGCCCCCCGCCCCCAAAATTTGTGATATGAATAAATAAATCCAACCTGGGAGTATGCTATTTTCACTAAAAGAGGAGGGCACAAAATGGATGCTTAAAACACCAATAATTAGTCTTAGGAACCAAAGCAAATAAATACAAGCTAAAACTCACTTTGCTTAAGGAGCATCACTGCTTTGCGAATGGCCCTGGACAAAGACAATCAGTTAAACCAACAACTCATTAGATTCAGAAAGAAATGTCCCCAAAGCACATTCACTAGCTATCTGCTCACTGATTGACAATACTCTTAAGTATAGTGTTACTTCCAATTCTGTCTCAACACTGAAAATACTACACATAAGGGCATCCCCCTTCATTTACTCCACCACTGGCTATCTCTTGCAAATGGAGACACCTGCAAGCTGGGAAAGACCGGTGGGTGGAGTGGAAGTGGTGGTAGGTAGAGTATCAGTGGTAGAATAAACAAATGTGTTTGTGTGTAGAGGGGTCTAATGTGGGCAGCAGAGAATAACAACTCACCATTTGTAACCTATAGCACATACATTATCTCATTTGATTCTCACAAGCCCATAGCGAAAATCTACTCTGCTGCCAAATTCAGTCCTCTCACACCCTCTGCTTTAATAACATCCTGTCTGCACTGCTCTGACATCATTGATTACGCTACACTCTGTCTTTCTACCTGCCCTCTTTTCCACATTAGGCTGCAAGCTCTCAAGGTCTCTGATTCCCCAATGATTAGCAGAGAGCCTGGCTCAGAGTAAATATTTACCAAATGTTTGTAGACATGATTTCAGGTAGATAAATAGGGTGTCCACAGAATTCTGAAATTCAACTAAAGGTCAGAACCAGAACTGGATTCCAGGTCTCTAAACCTCAAAGTCGATTTACATCAATTTTTCTTTTAAAGACTAAGTGATAGAAGCTGAAGAGGCAAAGAAGGAAATGGAATGCTGAGAATAAGTTCATGATAGAGAAGCAGAGAAGAGAGACCTATCTTAAGTACAGCTAAGTCTCAAGGGCTGTCTGAGGCAGTGCCACGCTTATATTTTAAAGCTCTTGTTTTGTTGGTTTCCACCACATTTATGACTCTTCTAAAGGTGATCAGGACTGGCAGATTTAAAGCCTTAAAGATCTGGTTGAAGGAAAAATTTAAATTGGTACCTGTAACTATCTACTTAAGTGCCCAGTTTGTTTTCTTAGAAAGCATTTTTTTTTTTTTTGCTCTTATTTAATCAGTTCTTTTGCACAATTTATCCCACAGCTAAAGAGTGGGATAAAAATATAGCATCTTGCACTAGCCTGGGATCTGGCAGAGGGAGGCAGCAGTGAGGTATAGTAAGACATACAAACTCTGCCAGGCAGCCAGCCAGACCAGGTTCTAAACCGTGTCTGTGTGATCTTAGACAAATCACTTAATCTTTTTGGGCTTCGGTTTTCTCAGCTGCAAAATAACAACAACAACAACAACAATAAAATATGTTGTGGGGTGGTTGTGAGAATTAACAACAACAACAACAATAATAATAATAAAATAAAATATGTTGTGGGGTGGTTGTGAGAATTAGCAATAATTATACAAAGTGGGCTATTTTGATCTTTATAAAATAGCTACACCCTGAAGGAATTGGGGGAGCAGTTAGAAAAATTGCAGGGCTTCCAATGGGAGGGCAAGAATGCCCCCATCTTCCCTAATTTCCATCAGAACCTTCAAAAGAAAAGCCCAGAGGATCCCTTGCTGGGGACAGTGACTGTAGACTTCTCAACACAGACAGATGGTGAGTAACAAAAACATGATGCTAACTTGCGCATGTACACTTACAATAGTCTTTCAAACATTTTGTTGCTTCAATAATGCAAAAGACTCACCTAAGGTCACAAAGCCACTGAATGACGGAGCTAGGATCCATAGCTACATCTTCCTCTCTACATCTCCTATACCCTCCATTACATCGGGTGTAGACCAGTCCATCGCCCTGCCTCTGAAGAAGAGAGCAGGGGGACAGGCAAGGGCGGGAGAGGGTTTAGGAATATGGTCTGCAGAGATCTGGCTAAGGGAGCCTTATGTGGAAGATCTCTCACCTGTCGTTTCGGCTAATGGCGGCCACCATGAGTGCTGTCCAGCCAAGTTTGTGCCTTGCATTGACATCTGCACCTTCTGACAACAGCCTAGAAAGAGACAGAGGCATATTTTCAGTATATGGCTCATCATGGACCTAAGAACGGAATAAATGACAGTTAACAAACAGGGAGGCTGAATGAAACCAAAAAAACAGAGGCCTCTGAGAACTAAATACCCATCCCAGCTCCTCTGACAACTCTCCCCAATCCCAGGCTTCCCTTACCTCTCCCTCTTCCCTGAAATGAGTCTGCCCTATGCTGTTATCATCCCAGTATCATGAGGAAAGAATGTGCCTTCCCTACATTAATACCCTGACATTCCCACTCCCGTAGTCCAGAATGCTCTTTTCCTGCTTCTTTGCCTATTCTAATCCTACTTTTATACTATGAGATACAATCCTGGCCTGAGGACACTCCCTGAGAAGGCTTCCTATGCTCATCCAATCCACAGATGTCTCCTCCTTCCTTAGAATTTCCCTGTCCTTAGCACCAAATGCCCAGTGATGCTCCTTATCTAGATAGTTCCCAGTTTACACAAGGATCACACTCAAGTTTATCTGTATGGTGGCTGATTGGAAATTGAAAATCTTTAAACCCAAGGAGTGTCAGAAACGCTACATTAGGTTTCTAGGAGAGTCCACATGAGCCTATTTGACTCTATATGCCAGCGCCTAACATGTAATAGGAACTCAGTAGTTGTTGGATAAATTAACAAACAGGGTTTTGAGTATACCACTAAAAGCCTGAATTCTGGGTCCCACGAAGAGGGGGCCCTACAATGTAGGGGTGGATAGAGAGAAAGCAGGTAAATAGAATCAACTCTTACTGAGCACCTACTACAAGTAGGAACTGCCCTTGGAATGTTACATACATCCTCTCATTCCTTCTTCATACAAGCTTAAGGAGCTGATACTAATCTCTTCTTTTCACAGATGAGGTAACAGGTTCAGTGAGGTGAAATGACTCACTGAAGGTCACAAAGCTAGTAAAGGGGCAATTCAGTGACTGGAACCCAGGTCGATAATGGCTCTTGGGCCTGAACCCTTCTCACCTCACCATCCTTCCTCTAGACTGAATCTGGCTGCATGTCACGTGGAAGACAAAAGATGAAACTGACATCAACAAATCCACATGATATGTGCTTGGTCCTGTGCTAGACTCTAGGATGGAGGTGAGGAGAAGACATGGGGTCTTGCCTGGGGAAGTGTACAATTTGGTTGTGAGGGAGGACTCAGGACAGAAGGAAACTAAAGCCTGCAGTGTGTGGTTTCCCACCAGAGGTGCTACAGGAGGTCAGAAAAAGGGGAGACCAAAAGTCAAGAGTGATTCACCAACAAGACAGGATCTGCTTATGAGGATTGGTGGGGACAGTGTTTGGGGGACCTGGGGAGCTACTCTTTAGTGGGTTCTAGATGAAAGCGGACTGGCAGAGACTTCAGAGGCCTGGGGTTGAGTCCTAGCACCATTCTTGTCTACAATCGTAGTAAATGCTCCTCTGGAACAAGCCAAATAAAACCTCTGTTCTGTTGAAGTAAGTGGGTGACTAAGACTAGAGCGAATGAGGCGACACAAAGCCTGAGGGGGAGGGGGGTGACAGATCAGCAAGCACATACCTGTATGTCGGACATGTGCTATGAATAAGGACCACAGGTTACAAGTGTACAACCAGAAACCTAACCCAGTCTTAGTGACCCGGGGGCCTCTCTTGAGGAGGTTGTGATAGAGTTAGACAAAAGGCAGTGAGGGAGAAGGAGTGTTACAGGCAGAGGTAAATCCTCTCACCTGGAGGAGAAGGCAGTGTTGGGATGTGAGGCCCTGAAAGGGGTTTGGCATAACTGGGGCACAAAATGTGAGAGTATCAAGAGAGAGGAGGCTGGGAAACCCTCATCTCTTGCCTCTAATTTGAGAATTTCTTTTGGTAAAAATCCTGGGCCTCTTACCGCATACACTGTTAAGCTCGTTTTATGCAGGAACAATTTTCTATGGCTGAGAATGTTAAAGAGGCTAACAACCCTGGGGATGAATTTTCTGTGAGACGAAAATCGCTTTTTGAACAAAACCATCTTTCTAATTTACAAACATTTCCTAATTTAACAGGCCAAGTGGTGCTGTGGAGAGCACAGGGTTCTGAGAGTTAAGAGGCTGGAGTTCTGATCTAAACCATGATTCTGATCAGAAGGGGTTACGTCTCTGGTCTTTAGTTCAGAAGACTGGAATATCAGGACCAGCTGAAGCAAACTGAAGAGGTTTATCATGGGAAAGACCGGAACTGTGCCTTGAAGAACGGGAAAAGTTGAGAAATAAGGGAGGAAATGCATGGCAGTCAGGACAAAAGGAATTGGATACTTATTCAGAAGCAGGGAATAATGGGAAGGTACATTCAGAGACCATCAAGCAGATCCATCTGGGTGACAGTTCACAGCAGAGAAACAGAGAGGTGCCGAAGTATGCAGGGCCTACAACAGGGTCTCGAGGGCCAAGCTAGGAGTGGCCATAACCTTTTTTGAGCCATGTACTTCTTTATGATCAAAACTGACAATTCTCCAGAAATGTGTACAGGAGCACATACCCACCCACCTGCCCCAATTTTTTTTTTCTTACAGTGTCCAAGGGTTTTACAGGTACTGGTGAAATCAATAGTGGACCCTAGATTAAAAACCCAATCTAAAGAGTTGACAAATGCCTGGCAGGCATGCTGTTCTACGCACTTGCATCTCAGTCAGAAATGACGAAATCTCTCTAAGCAGCTTTTTCCTGTGGAGCCTTTGAAAGAGTATCAGAATCCTCCTCAACACTGGTTCCAATCAGCCACCATCAATCAACTTAAGTTGGCAACAGAGACGAATCCCATTTGCCATTCCTTAGATTCTCACCATAGGTAGTGGGGTTGTCATTGAAGGTTTTGGGGCAAAAGAAATTATAAAATTAACCTAATGGCTTAAGCAGGCTGAATTTAAAAGGGGAGAGGGTAGACAATGGGGACAAGTCTCAGTTTGGAAACTGCTGTAATATAGACCAAGGGAGATGAGCTAGGGCAGGGAAATGAGAAAGTAGGCGTGGCTAGGAGAAACAGCATAGCCAGAATCTTTCATGACTTTAGTGGCTCAATGACCCATATTCCCCTGTCTGGACATAGAGAATTCTGGAAGCTGCTCTGCTCTGGAGATAGGGCTAAAGGAAGAAGATTGAGATGCCTCCTTCACCTCCTACCCCTTGAGGGATGAGTGTAGGATAACAAAAAGAAAAGGACGAGTGAAGGGGTTTGGAGTAAGTTAGACTCAAATTTAAATTCTGGTCCAGCTGGATAACTCTGAGCAAATCAATTCTCTGAATCTCAGTTTTTCTCATCTATCAAATAGGAATGATAATCTCCAATTTGCAGGGATCCCAGCCCAATGCCTGGCATATAGCAGGTATTCAATACAGCTGGTTTCTGCCTGCCATCCTACCCTACTTCTATCCCTTTGATGGAACACAGTGCTCTGGTCTCAAGCTGGTAAGTGGCAGGTTGGCCAATACCCAAAGATTCTAAGACAGGGTCACACAGGATGACCTGGGGAAATTCAGCCAGGCTAGATCTAGGGACTCCTTTGTTCATTTATTCAACAAACATGTGCACATACTCACTGTGCCCAACCACCTGCTGACTACTGACAAGGAGATAAAAAAAAGGTTCTTGCTTTCTAGGACCTGAGTAAAGTAGGGTTTTATACGTGTGTGTGCGCACATGTGTGCGTGTGTGTGTTTTCATAAATAATTGTTTTAAGATATGCTCATACTGCTAAGTATACATTAGTTCCATTTTTAAAATTCCACCAGCAGGACGGGTGTGCCTGTGTACCACTCTCCCAGCCAACACCTGCCAGTAGCCAGCTTCCTAATCACTGCAGATCCAATAGGTGTAAAGGGATCTCGCATTATTGTTTTAATTTGCATGTCGCTGATTACCAACAATTTTGAGCTACTTGTTATCTGTGTGTTAGCATTTTGGGGTTTCTTTTAAGAGGAAATACTGCTGAGAGAGAGGGCTTCTCCAAACTTGCTAATCCTTTTCATTAATAGGCAGAGTCAGGAGACCTGGATTCTAGTTCCAGTTCTGCTACCTCCTACTCTAACACCCTAGGGAATCATATCATTTTTCTTAGCTTCAGTCTCTTCACAGGCCCACTAGGGCAGGAAAGGGCTCTATAAACCTGAGGGGTCATTTGTAGGAGGCAAATCTAAGTGTTAGGTGAGACTCCAGCTTTTAACTGCCCAGCTTCCTGACTGAGCATCATTTTTTGCAGCCTCTTGGGGGCTGAGGTGTAATGGAAAGAGCAATGACCCTGGATCCAAGGCTGGAATTCAGATTCTGTGAAATGGGGAATATTAATCCCTATTGTGCAAGGTGGCTGTAAGGATTAAAAGAGAGAGACGTGTTGTAACTCCATAAGAAGTGGTGGTTCCTGGTACATCAAGGAAGGACCAAAACAAACGTAAATACCACTACAAGTTAGTCAAACCACAAACAACTTTTCCTCTTTCAGAGCTGGGTGGGTCCCTCCCCCCTTCCCCTTTGTGTGCACATCAGCCCCCGAAAGTTGGGATTTCACAAACCCAGGTCTCCTCCATTTCATTTTGTCGCTTTGCAAGTGAATGGCCAGTGAGCAGTCATTTCAAAGTCCTGGGCCAGCTCTGCGGGTGACTGCTTGCTGAGAGTGGCTGAAAGGGCCTCTGAGGCCTGAGAAAGCCACCCTTGCTCTCCCCTGTGATTTTCACCAACGAACAAAATGCGGCAAGTGAATTAATCTCTTTTAAAAAGAGCAATGCTTGTGACAGAGCACGGTGTCTCTGAAAAGGTTAGGATTCCATCATCCCTGAGATGATGAGTGGAATGCTTAATGCAGGTTGCCACTCAGGGCAGAGCAGCCTGCGTCCAGGGGCTGGGAGTGGGGGTGGGCACTGCAGGCCTTTCTGGGCTCACTCCAGACTTGTGGAAGGCCCTTCCCTAATGAACTAGGTCAAGAGCTTGGCAGGGCAGTGGTGGGTGACACTAATTGGGGATGACC